ATGGAGATTAAATGAACACACTATTCCAAAATGTTCACGTTTTCATGCTCCAGGTCCAGTTTTGACTGTCATGTTGGGTGACTGAACAGGTGTGTGTTTTATACCTCAAGCAGAGAATGACACAAATAAAGGTCAAATAAAGAGATGGAAAATAAGGGTGTTGTGTGCATGTGTTTGTCCAGTCAGAGGCCAGGAATAGCACCGCTGTAGGGTCAATATGACTCTGTCAGGTACACACACAGACACAAAAATACAGTAAATGTCTACAAGTACATGGATAAACACTACCGTATTGTGAGGCAGTTGGCGATATCCATACGTAGCAAAAAATATTTAAAGGCCGGGACACACCAAGCCGACGGTCGACCGTTGCCCAATGTCGGGCTGAGGGTGAGCGACGGTTGGGCTAGTTTGTTTGGTGTGTTCCACTCGTCGGCTCTCGTCGGGCTCACGTCGGTGCAGTTTGCCCGATTCAACATGTTGAATCGCCGTCGGGACTATCGGCGCGAGTGAGAGCTCTGATCGGATGTTCAGTTTAGCAAAAGAGTCAGTGCCCGAGAATTAAAGTGAAAGTGATGAAAACAAGCACGTAAATGAAGGCGGTACAGACAGAAGGCTGTTTAAATGTTACGTGATCTTTCCCAATCATTCTAATACGCGAATGTTTTCATAACAACATGAGCCGCTTAAAATGATTAAAGTTATCAACGTTACTGATATTCAAAATGGTAAGCAAGCGCTGCTTTGTTTACGTTTCGTATATTTGCGTTTATCTCGTATATCTTTGTTTCGGTTTCTCCTTTTGAATGACGAATATATACTATTGATAGCTGCTGATATAGACAGTTAATTCTTCTCACGCATGCGCAGAACGCACGTGTTAGTTTGCCGTCTGCTGTAGTCTGTGTGGTGTGTTCGAGCGCAGCTGACGCTGTCGATGCGAGGCCGCTAGTTCTTTGATGTCGGCTTGATGTGTCCCGGCCTTTAGTCACAAAATAATAAACACAATATTGTAACTGGATCGGGCAAAATGTGCAATGCAAAGATTGCTATTACAATTGCTTATACTTGTAGTAGTAAAATGAAAAATGTAAAAGCCAAATTACTTTAATTATCAAATTACAAAATCACTCAACATAGAAAGTATGCCAGAAGCACAGTCAACTTATGCTCTGATACCATTTTTTAAATGAAAAATAGGATGAATGGGTCAAATGTAAGATCATTTTTTAAGCATTAGAGTAAAAGTTTAAGACTGATTTGTAAATCTGTTTGATTCAATTAAATAAATCAGCTCAGAGTTACTTGTTTGTATTGTTTGTGAATCTAACCGATTTGTTCAAATGAATCAGCACATTAGAGTGGATTTTACCCTTGACATTGGCCTCGTTCACACAGCAGCAGAATACGGTTGTCAGTCCTGTATTTGAATCCTTAATACGGTTACATTCACACACAGTACTGTTATTTTCAGGTATGACAACCACATTCTGTAACCGAACTCACACCCATAAATTTTCAGGACTCACAACTGCATTCTCGGAAAACACGTGCTGTGTGAACAGAACAGGACTGGACTACTAGTTGTCTGTCACATCATACAGTGCAAGAGGGAACCACTCTGCTGCACAAACGCATGTTTACCGTGTGTTGCATGTTTTCATGTCCGGTTCCAGTAACTTACAGTGATGGAGAAATGAGCTGTTTGTCATCTGAAAGTTTTAGATCTCCACCAGAGCCGCTCCCGTCAGTTTTGTGTTCTGCGCGACTCAAATACTCCGCTCTCCACCCAAATATAAAAGCTACTGTCCCTTTAATTAAGATTTGACGGATGAACTCGCGGCTCGATTGGACTCTTGTTGTGTCAGAAAGCTATGGTAACTGGTAAGGAATACGGGCTTGATTCCCATTGCATGTTCATACAGACAGTATCCGAGAAGCTACTGTAAGTTGCTGTGTGAACGTGACATTTTGAGACTCTGACAGTGTGAACATAGCCATAGTCACATCTGGATTCTATTACATGTGAAACATGCATTTTCTATAAAGCCACTTTGAAACTATATGTATATTATGATTATCAGAAATTAGCGTCACGTTTGCACTCATTGGAGGAAGAAATACAAACAATAAGATTAATTGCCTTCCATTTTCAAAGTATTTAGCATTTTTTAGCAAAGTATGTCTTTAGCATTTTATTTATGTTCATTTAAATATAATTAAATAGTTTTAAGTTATTCTGTGGCCCCCTAAGT